CCCCCCCCCCGCCACGAAGGGCCCATCCCGGCGCCCGTAGAATCCAGCCGGCGAGTGCGATTGGTCGGGCGAACCAAAACAACGGGCATGACGTCACCTGGAGGACGGGAAAGCTGCGGCGTGAGGCGAGGAGTGCGGGAGGGGAGGGGGCGCGGGGAGAATCCCGGGAGCAGCTGTCGCTGCCAGCTAGCGCGAGCGCTGCCCCGCCCCTGCCCGGGGAATTCCACCTTCCCTGCAGTGCAAGTTGAATCGCAGCCCGGGCGGGGCGCGGAGAGCTGCAAGGGCTGCTCAGGCAGGTAAGGGTCCATCCGCCTTCTCCCTCGGGGCACTTGCCGAAGCAATAACGGCACCATTAATAACCACAATCACCATTCCCAGTGCTATTCTGTCCCCCTAGAGCCTTCCACGGTGGGGGTCTCAATCCCTTTGCAAAGCCCTAAATGACTTGCTGTTAATGTGCAGCGCATTTAAACCACCCTGACTAGCAAAGTGGCATGGTTAAATTTCATCTGGAATCCTGTTATAATACCTTTGGCCCTACGGATGCTATCTGTTAGGGTCAGAAGTCTGTGCTGTTAGGGTTTGCTGTCTGCATTAATTTGCAGATTATTCCTCATTCCACCCAATTTGTATCCAAAACTGGGGGAAATGTGTTTTTATAATACCTTGGTAACAAAACGTGCAGCTGTTGTAGGAATAGTGTGACAGGTGACAGGACCAATCTCAGTAGAATACCAATGTGGTTCCAGAGCAATACCAGCTGTATTTTATTTGATTTCATGGGGAAAGGGCTGCATATAGGAATTTCCCTGTGCCTAGTAATTATTTTGGGAGGCGTTCTCAAGGCATTGCTCGATTTGAGTCAGAATAATAGGAAATCCCGGAATGACCGTGATAGGGACGGCGATCGTGCTCCTTCCTGCCTGTGTGTGTATGTTCTGATCTGGCGGCACCGCGAAAAGCTTTGCACTGAAGGCGAAGTGAATTGTTGAGCCAGGACGTGTGGTGGTTTCTAACGGGGACCTTGGATTGCACCTGTTCAATTAGCCATAGGGAGAGAAATCCCTCTCACTCTCTCCCTCCCGACCCTTCTCCTGAAATGCTTAAAGGATTTGCAGTCCCGCTATGCAGTGGAGGCGCTGGCATGCAAGTCCCAGAGCACTGAACGGGGAAAGCCTGGCTGGAGGCGGGGGTTTCCCCGGCCCTAGCAATGCCCGCCTCGGTGTAGACTGGCGGATTCGCTCACATTTACGCTTTTTCCGAAACATCGGGCCCCGCGCCCCGCGTCTTCCAGTCCCCGTCTTCAGCTGCTCCGCAGAGGTGGCAGTAGGTGGGGCGGTCTCGGGGAGCTGTCCAGCGATCCCCAGCAGCCTGAAGGAAAGGCGCGTCCGAGTCCTCCCGCCCCTCGTCTTCCTCTTTCTTCCGCACGGGCTGGCCCTTGCAGGAGGTTCCCTGAAGATCTGAAAGACAAGCATGTAGCATGACTCCGTGCTTCTGTCTCCCTACCTGTGATTTGAGAATAGGTATAAATGTGAGAGAGCAGACGCAAGCTATTTCAAGAAAGGTGATGCCAAATGTGCGTTGATGTGTATGCAGAGACAGTAAGGGTGAAATTTTCTGACCTCACTGAGGACACTGACAATATTTCCACTGATGTCTGTAGGACTAGGATTTTGGCCTAGGGTTCAGGCAAATAATTCCATGCGCAGTCCCATTCACGTGCATAAAGGTTTACAGAATTGGGCCCCCAAACTGCACTAATTCAATAAATATGTAATTCATGTGAAATCCATGGCCTACTAGCAAAAGGATTATCTCTATGAGGATTAAATCAAATATACTCCTTAGAAAGCAGGGGAGTGGGGAAAAGAAAGAGGAGACACAGAGGAACTGGCAAATCTGTAAATGGATTTTGCTACTAAAAATACAGGAATGCTAGAAAATAGGTTTTTTTAACAAAATTCCAAACATTTTTCCAAACCCAACAATTAAAAAAAATTAAGGATTTTGTAATATGAACTTTTTAAATTTTGCATTGGAAAACCTGAGAGAAGTCAGTAAAGAGTCATGTGTGGGTTTTTGGTTTTTTGGTTTTGTTTTTTTTAAATCTGCCAACAATAGTCCAACAAAAGATTTACACGATGGAGACTTTACTGTGAAACAGGATCACTTTCATTAAGTAATTGCATTTCTGACCTGGATCCAATTTCCTGAAATTCTATTCTGCAATAACTCTAATGTTGGCCATCTACTACCATTTTGCCTTCTTTTCCCCAGTGACTTCAAGTGAATAATTCATTTTAGCAGTTCCCTTAGACATTTTAATGTCTGAGCCAGATAAAGTCTCTATTTTGCATTTACTTAGAGAGAGGAAAGAATCGTGAAAATGGTAAGTGATTCATTTATTATAGCTGCTATAGTTAAGGCTGCATCAGCATTTCCATTATATAGCTGGCTTCCAAGAACCAGAAATTCAACTGTTAAATTTCATTTGGATGGCCTGACTTTAAGGGATCAAAGTCTCAAGAAATCTTCATTTCCCCCCTAAAAGTTTAGGGGAAATGTCAGTTCAAGCATTTGTAAATTATAGAAATACAGGAAAAATAATTGTTGATAATGATAGGTTGATGTATCTGGGTTTTTTTCACAGTAGGTGTTTTTTTTCACAGTAGGTGTTTCTATCTCACAAAATAATTAGATTCCCAATGACATTTTGCTTTAATGGATTGAATCTGTCTTGGGTACTTTTACTGGGATGAGTTGGAGGGGGAGATGAATGGTTGAAGTATTTGAATAGCTAACCTATTTAATTTGGGAAATGCAAATTTACAACAGACCAATAACTTTATTCTCAACTATATTGTGATATATTGCGTTTAGGACACAGATGTTGCAGTTTCACTGATGTAATAAAACATTACTGTTCCAAAAAGCCAGTCACAGGAATATTGCAATGACCCACAAATTAGTATGCTTATACATGATTATAATATAAGTTTCTGTAAATATGGATTTGTATGACATACAGTATCATAATTGCTCATAATGTCAATCTGTTCAGTTAATAATCCTGATTTGAATTAAGTCCCTTCATACATATTTGAAGGAAAGATGAACTCTCAATATTCTACTACTTCATTCTGCACCTTCAAACTTTTTTAATATGTACTTAAACTGTATAAAATCCACTGGGTCCATTCTCACATATTTGAGTAAAAGGAATTGTTTTACTCTTAAGAAGAAACAAACATTTTAAGTAAACAGTATTACAAATAGACAGTATAAAATCCAGAATTTTTCCATTTATTGTACCTCAAAGCATTCTGTTTTTTCTACATATTGAAGGGTCAACTATGGCAACATTTAGATTAAAACACAGTGTCACACCTCAGGGACTATATCCATAAATCTATCTGTGCATGGAAATTCTATATACAACTGAGTACAAAGAGATTTGCTGCATCAAAGATGAATTAAAGAATGCACATAAGTTAAACTTTGCCTCACTTTTTTGTCTATTCATATCATGGTCTTAATCTTAGTTGAATGTACTTTTTCTTCCTTAACCTTCCTGCCCACATTTGTTCTTTAGTCTGAAAACTTCATATCATGTCAGTTTCTCATGAGTTAATCTTCTATGCAACTAAAGCTTCACATTTTCTTTGTTTTCATCTAATCTGATAATGAAGTTTTAATTGTGAATAAAGTTATAAAATCAGAAAAAAGATTTTTTTTACCATTAGAACATGAATATGTACAACTTTCTGTGTTTTGTAAGGGAAAATTATATTTTATTCTATTATTTAATATATGAACAGCTGCAAATCCCATTTTTATTGTATTTATTGTTGACAGATTGTGTCTGTCCTTAAAATTAGGTCAAGCACTCTGTTTTTACTAGCTTTTGGAGTATCTTATGTGCTTGCTTGATCTTTTTTAAAGACAATAAACAACTGAATATTTCCCTATTTAACACAAGAGGGCATACTAATACACACAACACATATATAATTAGCTGCACATTTTCATTTGTTTCAATTATATAGGGATTATTTTTACTTCCCAAATTTTAAAGATCTAAAATTAAAAATTAGTGAGAACTTACTTTTTTAAAAATTAGGGAAAATAGACCTTTCTCTCTCTAAGATGCAAAACAGCAAGAGTAAAAAGGCACACTATTTAAATCAATCTGATCTCTAATAATAAGCATTTTTGAAATGTTGTATAAGA